TTCGTGCGTTTTTGAAACATGTTAAAATTCCCTGAAGCAATGTGTACATCGGATTGACCGCTAAGCAAAGCTACAATTTTAAGTTATTAACGTTGTACTATTGTTATTATTCATTGTACATCATTAAAATTAGGTACTATTGCATAACAATAGCGTAATGTAACATACGAAACACAAATAAAATGGTATTTAAGTGTATATGCATCGCATCGTTATGCTGTATGCATGTAACCAATGCATACGTGTTTTATAAAAATAACTTTAAACCTTTCTCATATTTTTGGCATTCAAATTTTCAATAAAACTAAGCTTTTGATCACAGACAACTATGTCGATTTTCATGTAATCGACCCTTTTAAATTTCTGGGCAGTTAAATATCGGGACCTTGATATTCAAGGCACTTGAAAGATCACTTTTATTGATAGACATACGGTTTCAAAATATCATAAAAATCCCCTCCCGGAAAGAAAGAAAAAAAAAAAAACCCTTTTCAAAGGGAAAATTTTTCATGTACTGCAATCTTGTTTCTAGAGGACAGAGGATTAATATTTTAAATTAATAGGCCTATCGTAATCATTTCGGCTTGCATTTATTCCAGGTGTTAAACCGAAATTCGTATGTCAAAGTCAGATTGCTGTATCTTTTTAAACTTATGATGTTCATATATTTCTTATTTTTCTTAACTTTTTGAAATCTGAATAAAAAAAAACTATCCAAGGTGTCGGCTTGTACTTGTGATTCAGACTGCAATTTTTAACAAGCGGGTTTAGTTTGAATTACATATTCTCCTAATGTTTAGTATGGTCTATCTGTCCCAAATGAGTGGAACTGCTGGCCACTGTTAAGTTCGATCTAGGTGCATAAAGTTGATGAAAACTTGTATTTCGACTTGCGCTCGATTTCAGGCGAAAGAGCGTGCAGCATAGGCATTCCCATAGTTTGTCCCCATGTGTAACGTGAATACGAGCCAATTTTTCTTGAAACGTTCTCCCCGAAGGTAATAGTCCTTGTGTGCACATATGGGAAAAGAGTATGAAACACAGTGGGAAAAGAGTATGAAAATATAGAATGTGCAATAATTGCACATTCTATATTTTCATACTCTTTATCCATTTTATTATTCACTTCCAATTTTCGGTACTATTCCGTTTTTGAGAACCGTAAAAAATCGCCAAACTATTGTTGATGCCAGTGCTGCCAAAAATAATTGCGGCAACCCTAACGCAAGAAAGGAAGTATAATAGTAAATATCTAAAGATTATTGTTTTAATTTATATGAAAGTTAATTTTTTATAATGCCTTTTATTATTATAATTATATAAAAAAGGCTAAACATAACTGAATGGAAGCATACGAGTAAATAACTATTTCAGATCATTATTGTAATTTATATAAAAAAGGCTAAACATAACTGAATGAATTCCTGCATCGCTATTTCGCTACCTAGTTATTGCTGAAGCATAATTTCATCTCGTTTGTTGTTCAACATAATTTTCTATCATGAATGATGTCTTTTCTTTGAAAGAATTCTATTGCAGACTTTTCGTCATGGGTAATTCCCAAATTGTTAAATCCATAGGATATCAAAAAAGAATTTGAAAGAAAAATCAAACTAGTATTTCAATGGCGCCTTAAATATAGAACTGTCAATCTGAAATCAGCGCGTACACTAGATTTGGCGCACTGTTAAATAGGCACGTTTTCTAGATTTGGCGCTTTTGCGCATACAATTTCGCTGCAAATTTTTACGGTCCTCAAAACGGAATGGTACCCAATTTTCTATTACTTACTACCTACATTATTTTCACTGCTTTTATGCTCCTAGTGTTCAAAGAAAACAAAAACTAATGTATTTCTGAAGCATTCAGCAACGTTTATAAATTTTCAGTCATTTTAGTAGTTACGTAGTTTTGCTTGCTACGTCTTTTTTGAAATATATCTATTACACAATATATTGTATAAGATCGCTCTTTCAATTTTCTTTTTTCTTTTTCATTTTTAAGGCTGATTTTCAATTACGATAGCAATATGTTTTGAAAATGGGGAGGGGGGAAATTGTTGGCATTTATTCACTCGTAAGTTAGTATTTTAATATTATGAAGATAGATTATTTTAAAATTAACTAAAGTCTTGGACTGCAAAATGGAATTGAGTAGATTATAATCGCCATTTCAGTTTGGGAGATATCCAAAACCAATTGAATGTATGAATTTGATCACTGTGTTCTTTGTCCAAGGACAAAGAATCACTACTTTTTTCTTTTCAGTTATTAGTACTCGATGCATTGCACTTTCTGCGTAAAAAAACGACAAAAACCCAGTGCAGAACAGGAAATGTTAACACATTCAGGGCGGCTTGGGACCGACAGTGAACTTTCCGTTTAACCAGCTTTCGGAACCTAGGGGTTTACAGTATAAAAGTTAAAAAGTAAATGTAGTAATTTCAATGAAATTTCTTTTATTATAATTTATTAAAAATTATTTACTTTTTATTGATTTTTTGGCGTCTAAGACCCACGTAAAAGGAACAATATTTGGCTGATTGGCTTTTGGATCAAACTATTCATGTTGGTCACCGACTTCGTACGCCACAACTGTCATTGTCAAGTTCCATTGCCTGGTATAAGGAACTATGTTCCAAGGATGACAGCCGTAATACTCGACGATGTCGACGTTTACGACGATGATAAAAATAATTCACTCAACATATCACTGTTTTCTTCTCTTTCAAACATTTTAGTCTTACAGGCAATAAATACTTAAAAATTATATTCTCAATTCGTCTGTACCCTTCCGCGTCTTTTTTTCTAACTAACCGTCTCAAGGAGTTTGCCTTTTTGCCATTCGTAAACGTGCACATTGGCTGCGCCATTGTCTCTTTTCGAAATAAAAATAAAGTGAAACGAATTAGTTTTCTGTTCCCTTTTTCCTAGTAACTTGTTCGCTGCCGGCTGAACGGAAAGGACCGCAGTATTAGCACCAACGCGTCAACCGGTTTTCTGCAAAACGTCCATCACGAAAGTATACTGTTCTCTTCACAGATAATTTTTTGGTGCGTTGTCTTAATAAATCCAATATAGTTTGTATTTTGCTAGCTGATATCATTATATTGCATTTCCTCAAACGTAATATAAATGCCAAACAGCAGATCTTAAACTGTCTTCCACAATGACGTTCATCTCTATAAGCAGATGTTTTGATGTCCTGTGTAACAGTGAAGTAATGTACCACAGTTTTGGAGAAAGTAAACATAGTTACTAACATTAAATTGCCTTGAATTGAAGACTGCGTTTAAAGAGAAAATTTGCAATCAAAAATAATCCATAAGAAGAATGGCAATAAAATACAGTTGCACACTACGGTAGCATATGTATATCTCTTCAGAAATTTAATCACAAAATCTGCTTCATAAAGCTTTGAATATTAATTTCAGCTAGTAAATGTATAATTTATTATTCAAATTTAGCATAGACATTTTCAGAGAATTTTTTTAATTATGTATTATAGTATAATAAAAGGATTAAATTATAGCACATAATATTTATTATATCCATATTTACTTTTTATACCGCAGTGCAGATTATTGCATCATGATAAAATTTGTTCCATAAATATGTTAGTAATACAGTAGAAGGAAATAATGATTCTGTTAATTTCATTCTATAGATTATATTGCGATAGCAAAACATCAACGAATAGCGGTTCTGTGCATTTTTACATAATATATGAATGCCAGGTTAACCATTGGGGTATATAATATTCAGCCTTTCTAAGAAATGTTCGTCATAAAACGAGCATTAAGTGGCATCAATAATGATTTTACTACTGTTTTTACTTTAGGGGAAACAGGCATGTATTTTTGAGCTACGTTATATAGAGTATTTGGTTCCACCTGAAACTTGAGTTTTAGATGGAAAAATAGAGTTTAATGGAATACGTAATTTTCTAGAGTTATTTCTCAAATTTCTGCTACTTCCTGTTTTGGAATACAGCTGATTTTATTCTAAATTTCTAATATTTTCATTTGTTAAATGAGTTCGTTTGGAGACAATTCTCATTCAAAACATGGAATAATAAACTCGTTATAAGTACAATAAGATTTATTATTATGAATGGAAATAAATTTCAATTAATGAACCGAGTTAAAATTTCTGAGTAATAAACTGTTAATTAATTTTGAAAATTCTATAAAAGGTAAACTCGTTTCTCTACCACAGCAAATGGATCCCCTTACGCAAATCATATTTTATTTAGTTTTATGCACGCAGTAGATATGAACGATAGTTTCATATGTTTGTTACGTGAACTATATGCTTCATCTCATTAATGACTCGACAAGCAACTTTTAAGATACATACTTTAGAAAATAACATTGAACAGTTACGAAGAAATACAGAATTACAGCTCTGCGTGCATTACACATCTTTACGCCATGGCGGGGTCCAAAGGGAGTAATTAGCTTTCGTTTTATTTTCCGCCAAGAGCGGCGGAATGAAATTTCAAATCTTATCGGAAAGTTTTGATTTGATTACGGTAAAACACATGAAAGCTATCAGCCTAAGGGTAGAGATGTATTCGTGGAGGACTTTATAAGGGAAACTGGCGCGTATAAACCATACCAATGGGGGGGGTACTACGAAAACACACATACAGCAAGCCCGTTCACTGGGATTATCAGTGTTCAGAGGATTTATTTCTCTGCTACTGGTGGGCTCTTAACAGGAGAGAAATCCTTCCCACTAGTCCAATATCACAACGAAGAAAGTTACGTATGTAGTTTCTTGTTGCATATTTTATGTAGCTAACATGAGCTAACATGCAATGTTGTCAGTTTAATAACAATTTAGACGTCAAAACGGTTGCCATGAAATCGAAAGTCAAATTTGTCAGTTTCCTTTTTAAGAATTAACGAAAAAAGGCTAAATAACGTAATTTTCTGTTTCTGAAATCATTCTAGAGTTAATAATTCACTGATGTTTAATTTTCATTTATTCTTTCAGCTGTTTCTGCAGAAAGTGAAGAGGCGGACCCATGCCAAGGCAGAGTTGGAATTTTCTCGAATCCGGATGATTGCGCAACATATCTGATTTGCCAAAATGGGATTTCAGAGATTGCCAGTTGTCCGGATGGACTTCTTTTTGATCGTTACAAAAGGACTTGTGACAGAAATGTGACAGTGGATTGTTCAGACGGTAAGATTTTTATACTAAACTATATTTCTTATAAATATACAAAATACATTTTACTCCTTTTCTTAAGGCCAAGAAACTCATTAGAGATTGCTTATCTTAGTTCATGGTTTAACCTTTAATATTCTTGAAACATCCTAGATTTAGAAATGAAGAGAAACACGCCAATGTGACAATCCAAAGTATACATACGCAAAATACAAGGTTGTTATTGCGATTTTGATCCTAGATTTATTCAGTAGGCGAATGGCAGAACTCGTGCATTCCTGATAGTTACATTGATTTCTAATGACAGAGAATTTTGCCTACATAAATAGTTCATAGTTTTCTTGTATTATACGTAAATATGAATAATTTTCTAAGCAGAAAAAAATTACTAAAAGAGAGATGGCTTAAATGCATTTCCATATTAACCAAACAACCCGTATTATCCAAACCAGTGTTTTTTATTTAAGCTGTGGTTCTCGAATCCTGTTCTTGGTGTCCTCCTTGATTTCCGAAAAAATGTACAATTCAAATTAACTGCGCGCATACCATACTGCAGCTGAAAATCTGAGTTTCGAAATTACACACGACAGTCTTTTATCACTTTCTCTACCGAGATATATGTTATTAAATTTATTATCGGTTATCTTGCATCATAATTTCTTATTCTAGAATTAGCAATAAAGCAGATTAAGCAGATAAAACAGCACCATCTTGTCAGCATACATTCTTGTCAGCTTCTTCGTGCTTCTTGTCAGCATACATTCAAACATAGAATAGTTAAGCAAGAATCAGTTATGCGAGTATCAATATTTAAATTTCAGTCGATAATATAAATATAATCCAAATTCAACAACCTTGAATTATCAAAAACGAATGTTTCTTTTCAGTAGTTGCATATCGTGTCGTCGACCAGCCAAGTAGCGCGATTTAGTCGCAATTATGAACAAACGTGTGCTTTAGAATTCCACAATAACCATTGGCAACGATTGTCGAAATTTCGTGACTTATTTAATACAAGTATAAAATTAAATGAATTTTAATTAACTGTATTTTAAAAATATAAATATACCAATAATAACATATGCTAAAACGTTTTCGAACGCGTAAGGTGGTCCACAGAATATTTTAATTTGTGAATGTAATTCCCACTTGAAAAAGAATTGAGAAACGCTGACTTCATTGTTAAAACGTGAATGTTCCGAATAATGTATGCGTCGGTACGTTTTTTAATGCAGAAATTTGAATGATTTCTTAAACTTTTATATTGCAGAACTCTGTACACAGACTCTTGTCTACGATCCCAAAAGATTAAGATCTAGGTATTAATAAAATTATTTTCCTGATTTAAATATTAGTTGTATTAACATTCATGCAAGAACAATAATATATGGACACAGCCCAGTCACAAGCATTAAAAATTGTGACTGTACACTTTAAACACGCACCAGCAGCTGTGCGGTTCAGACCACTAAAAAGTGGAAGCTCGACCTCAGTTTAAATTTCGACAAGCTAGCGGCATAGGAATTTTCATGCTTTTACCCATACGTAATGGGAATGCGAGCCAGTTTCCTTTTAAATCCAATCCACGAAGCATCATTTTCCTTAAGCAGATAGCCAATATATGCTTTGTCATAATGTAAGAACATACGAAACTAGCAGCGCGATATCTAAAGTAGCAGGCTGTGGAGTCGGTACTTAGTTAGATTGACCATCCACATGACTGTCCGTACATGACTCAATCGCCAATGACGGCTGCGAAGAGAATTGTTCACTTAACTACAACACGCAAATAAATCCAGTTTCTATGTTTTGAAATAACTCATCCAGAAAGAAGTTCCATTGTTTTAATTCATGGAGGTAAGAAGTAAGATGGAGTCGCCCTAAACAAGTTTCTCCGTACCCTGCTCTGAAGCACCGGCGATCCCTACGTGGTGACCAAAACATTGGGTCATTTACCATTGAGTTCTATGGGATTTGACGCGTTCGGGTGTAAATATTTTGTAATTACGTCGCAAATATACATATAAATGTAAATATTTTCTTTTTCTACAACACTTCAGAGTCCTAAGTATGTGAAAACAACATATTTTTAAACAACATTTCATTCTGAACGGAATTAAATGCTATACTTTTCACAGGACAGTTTTCTCAGAATGGTTTTAATTTGAATGAAATATTTTCACAAGTTTTCGTTAATTACATTAGAAAAAAAAATTAAGGTAATTCGATTTTATTCGGTTAAGGTACAAAAATTAAGATCAAAGTTTATTGTATTATTAATATTAAAATTATGCATTATTTCTTTTCTATTTATAGAGCTTCTTCCTAAAATACTTTCTTAAATATGACATTTTTTGGGCTTCTTTTAAATCGAAAAATGTAAGTCAATTTATAATTAATGCTCTATTCGGTTCATTTTAAATTAGAGAATTATTAGGAATTAGCGAAATACTTTAAAATAAGTATTTCGCTAATTCCTAATAATTAAATAGATATTAAATAGTATTTGACTTTCTCTGAACATTTCTGAAAGAGAATAAAATAAGTTTTTTTTTTTAAGTATTATTTAAAACTTGTAACTGAGTTATTATAAAATGTAAAGGGAATAATTCTTTTAATTATACTTATCAGATTTTTTTACCCTTCATTTCAACAATACATATTCCGAAACTCTTTATTACGTTCTTAAGTGCGCATCTCATAGCATTTGCTTTACAATACCTTTTAACAGATTGCTTTCCAATACGAACAATTCTTGCTTAAATAGTTTTATAACGTATTTGTCAACAGGATTTCAATTTATGTTTACAATTCAATATTAAGGTTATTATATATTTAGATAACATTTATAATCATTATAAAATTAGATACATTTAATCATTAGATTTCTTCACAGTACTTTCACAGTTGTTTATAAGTGAATAAATTCTTCATTTCAAATACATTTATAAATAATTTAATGAATATTTAAGTATTTTACCAAAGGCAGATACATGCTTTTTGCAAGCACATGCATAAATACCCATACATATTTCCTATTTATCATTTCCGGCATGTGCAAATCTTTAATTTCTGTGCATTCACTATATTTTTCGTGTAAAGTAATTTACACTAATTTAGCATACACCCGAAAGTTTTACATAAAAAATATATATGAATATAATTTGAATGAAAAATTATAAGTATTATTTTTAATACCCATTCAAAGGTCAGTTTTCTTCAAAATTCCTCCACGATGGCATCTCTCTCTTTAGGCAGATAGCCCTTGCATGCGTTACTATATTTAATAAAAACTTAATCTGACCTATATGCCTAATTACAAATATTTTAACATGCATAATTTTATATTTACATTTAGCCATCAAGTTTCAAACTTTTCAAATCTTCTAGAAAATAAATTTTGGCAGATCTCTTTTAGCAATTTTCTTAAAATCTATATTTTGTAGTGCAACAGCTTAGAATTTTATAAAACAAATTCATAATCAAAATCGCTGTCGTTAGTTATCGAAAAATAACCAAGATGTGATTTTTGCGTAAATGTCAGTAAACTATACAAATTGCTATTATCCATCACACTATGAATGTTTCTTTCATGCGAGAGTGTCCCTTTTTCGATTTCTATGGAACTGTCGTGTGTCGAAATACTATCAGAATCTTGTCAAGCGAGCTTCTGAATGTAAACAAAGAACTCTCCGTCTGGTGACCCAAGCTTCAAAGCAGTGCTTCACTTCTAGCGCGGAATGGCCCCTCCTCCCTTTCCTACCTCCATATTTTAATTAGCTGGATTATGGCATAAATCAGTTTTTTAAACTGTGAGTCGCAATTGCCATGGGGGTCGTGGGACCTGCAGCAGAAGGTCGCCAAAATTTTTAGAAATATTGATATTTCTTTAACTTATAAGAATTTTAAAATTACCAAATAGTTTTACACAATGTATCTGAAAATAAAGATAAGACAAAGAAAAAACGAAAACGCTTCGACGCACTCTTTTTATAATTAAAACGTTCATTTTACTTGCTCTCTGCTCGTGACGCTGAAATTTTGTCTGTTACTTATTTAAAATATTCACATTGTTCTATGTCTTAAAATTAGAAATTTAATGACCTTAAAATTGCAATAGTATATTCCAGTACAAGTGAAAAAATTGACGGTTTCACTCACACGTGTGTCGGATTTGCGCAATGCTTATGGAGCTCCACAAAATTTTCGTAAATATTAAGAGGTCCATAGTTCGCGAAAAAAATATGTGATAAAAAGGAGTAGCCACTGAAAAACGTTTAAGAAGCCCTCGCATAAATTATGTGTTGTCCGTTATTTTAATCAGTTAGTAGCCAGTTCGACTTTGACATCATATATGTATTAATTATGATCTTCCTCACAATAATTAATTTTTAACATGGAAAAATTGTTAATAACTGGTCACAAATAATTTGTTGTAAAAATTTGTTTATAAATTATTTAATATAATAATTTGTTTATAAATTCCTCATGCATTTTATTTGAACGTTAAATAATTTAGGTTAAAAATTTCCTTTTACACTTTATATAAAAGTTTGACTTTTCTGGAATATTTTGAAAGACAACCTAGAAAATTCCTGAATTTAAAGTTTATGAAAATAATCCTGAATCGGGCAGCAAATGCAGTTTTTATTTCCAATTTTGCCCATAATATATTATCATAATTTAAGTTTTATCTGGAAGGATATAAGAGCTTAACTGAATAACTGATTTCGTCATTGGCATAAAATTTGGCGACGTGCGTCAATGAAACTTCTTGAGAAATTTCTTGAAACCGCGCAGGACTATCATTTGAGTAAATTTATGCTTTGAGAGATTAATGCAGTTTCACCTGCTCTGATTGTATGTGAACAAGTATTTTAACGGAGAAAAGTTTAGTTCCCAAAAATTTAATTCTGCTGCAAATTATTAATTTATTCGATAAATATGAACTTGATAATTGTTAATGTAACTGTCGCTTACGTTTTGGACAATTTCAGCTCGGGTGTACTTTATAACTAAATCTCAGCTATTCTAAAATTCGCTAAGCAATGTAATAAGGAAATTTCGCGTAGATTTTTCATTTAAAAATGTTGGCTCGTGACTAAAGCACCTACGAAAGAAGATATTTTTAATATTTTAAGTGGTTATACAGCTTTTGAGGTTTATATCAGTATTTATACCATGGCAAAGAGAAAATAAAAATATAACCTGGAAATTTTTCTAAAAATTCAATTTCATTTTCATGGAACAATCCAGAAGCTGCAGCTTTCAGTAAAATCTTTCTCTGAAAATGCATCTTGTGCATTTTTATAGCAAATAATTTATGTGCATTTGCTTTCACTTGTAACAAATTTCTCGGATTTTCTTGTATTTGAGGAATTTTCATGTTAAGGGCTGAATCCCCATTTTGTGTGTACTTTTAAATTTCGTGTATATTGGTTTATTTAGATATCTTCAAGTACTTTCAGAGGCCCGGTGGCGCAGTGACTAGCGCATCGCGCAGCAACACCACAAGTCCGGTGTTTGATTCCTGGGCCGGGCAAGGTTGACTCAGCCTTTCATTCCTTGATTTCCATCACTTGGGTCGATAAAATGAGTACCAAGTTCGCTTGGGGACTAGACACTGGGGTTCCTGCGACAAGCTGACCCCTTGTTCAGGCAATATGCTTAAACGCTCCAGGACCCACGGTCAAGAAAACAGATTTCGGGCACTGCAGGCCTTGGCCCATTATGGCTATTACGCCAATGAGTTTAGTTCAAGTACTTTCACGGCTTCGTTTCGGCCTATCAAGAGAATAAGTGCAGTTGTTTAATTCCTACCTCTTGACGATAGAACTCGCTGAATGAGAAAATGGCAAACAGTAGCGGTTAAAAATTTATACGAATTGTTCTATTAGTAGTACTTCTTATCGTCATCCCCACCTAAATGTCACGAAAGTTTGGCGACTTATTCGAACATTCGTGAATTTGTTGGCCGTTACTTTTTTGCTAAGTGAATGCGCGAAAGGTAGCAGTTATTTTCAAAATGCCACTAAGAATTTCATGCAAGAGCAAATCAACCAGTATAACTGAAAACGCAAGATGCATCAGTAACAAAACATTTACTTTCGAGAATGTGAAACCTACATGTTTTGCGCGCATACGTAGGTCAAGTAACCATTTTGGTGACGCATTGCTTTGCCACATGAACACATTTTCGCGACTTTCGACGAGGGTGCGGATAATCAAAGTACCGAAATAAAATCCATGGCCTAAAACATAAGCATTTACTTTTAAATGCGAAACGTAAACCCCCACCCCACAAAAATATAAATTATTTCTTGTCTTAAAAAGCAAAAACTATTAAATAGCTGTAGAAAAGGGCTAAAGTAGGAATGCGGCATTCGTTTTGCCTTCCAGACTCGTAATTTACTATTCTAATTTGTCGAAAAAGGATTATACCAAATCCTTGCAATATACTTCGACTGGTATCGAAAATGTACGAAGACCGACATTCAACCTGATCATGTTAAGGCTAAGATAATAGCTGTTTTCCTTGATAACCATGCTGACAATAAAGGCGGTTAGGTGAAAATGCAAGAAAGTCTATATTTTTGCTAATATACTCATCAGTTCCTTCTAGTTCAGATTAATGGTACACCACCTGAAATGCCAAACATGGAAAATGCTAGAAATTAATTATCAATAGAGCTTGAACTTTGCCCCTCACGTACATAAATTCTGCGGGCTATTTGCTAAATCTGCACGGGGATAAGGATGAAAATAACCTTCAGTATACCATAGATTTAAATGAGCAGTATCATTTAAACAACATAAATGAATGAAAATGAAACCGGAACGGTAAATGAAATTTCCTTGACCGGGAAATGAGTAAAGCATTCTAACGCGGGTTAGCTTTTGCTCTACCGTGTTCTGTCGTGGTGCGTTATTTTGGGGGTTATTTTTCGCCTTTCCTAGCAAATGTTTAGGATTAAGAGCCACATGCTCTTAACTACTGAAGATTAAAATTTATTTCTTTGCTGTTAATGAAACAGTTGGTTGAAATTTTAAGTCTTTTAAGTTGGTTTACCATTCCCTTGTGTCTTCATGATTTTTTCCAGCATACAATTTCACATTTTTGTAAACAAGTTTGAGCATACGTTTCCAGCATATATCCGATTTGTTTTATCAGAATTTTCAATGCTTGTTTTTCAGATACACAGGGGTAGATTACAATGTTCATTTTATTTGCTTGCAAACAAATATTTAGATGATAAACCGTACTATGCAATAGTTTGTTAAATCTGTTTTATTTAATAAAAATGAATCGGTTTCGAAGATTTTATCCATTTTATACAAAGTTAACACCAATCAAGTATAAAGTCTTGTATCTAATCTATAATATTTGCATTGGTTTTAGGAAACCAAAGATACCTGGAATTCCTCCCACAAAAACTGAATAGTTTAACACAAGGATGTTTTGATTGGGTGTCCACTAGTTGAAGGAAAAACTACACATTTGGATAAAATGTAAACAATGGACACATTTCATTATTGTTAATTCTGTTTTCCGCCAAAACAAAAATATGGTAATTCTCCTCTCGTCAAAAAGTACCGAAATTTTGTTTATATTGGTTACTGAAAGTATAAAATATATTTAACTGAAGAAAGCATAACTGACTCCGGTCTAAAATATTAAAATGTTAAAAGCTAAACGGAAACGGGGAGCAGAATTATTTTATTTCTTGTTGCTATAAGAAAACAGCTTGAATGTCTTTTCTCAGATCACAATAATTCAAAATATTCAATAAACATACGCATAGTTAAAACTAAATTTAAATATTTTAATGTATATTTTAATGCTAACTTACCGGCACAGAATTAAATTTTTAAAAAGATTTCTCTTAACTTTTAAAGAAGAAATTATGGCAGCTACAAAATATGTGTAAACATTGGTTACAAATCTATTGCATTTTGTCACTGAAAATTTGTTTCTATTCAGCATATTTTAATTCTCTATTCACTAAACTTGTGCCCTAGTGAAAATACTGACTTCATCTAGTGGATAAAATTTTAAAATTAAAGAATTTAGATTAAAACCTCCTCTATAATAGTTATCTGATTCTTTAAACAGAAGATCAGTAGAATAGTTTTCCATGTTCTATTTTCTTAAATATTAATAAGTATTTGTTGCTCAGCATGTAAAGTATTTTAAATTTATCATCTTTTCAGATTTCATTCATCAAGTTAATTGTTCTAGACTTTTAATTTCTTTACTGACATTTCAGGAAGATGGTTTCGGAATGGTTATGGTTGTGGCATTGACCGTCATTAACAAGTGTGTAGTTGCAAACGTGCTAATCTGTGACACCTACATTTTATTTAACGTCTTTTTGATACAACAAAATGTTTGAATAAAAGCTCGAGCGTTTAAGAAAGAGACCTACAAGGTTTTTACTTATAAAGGGCCAGATCCAAATTTTACATGTTAAAAAAATTTAACAATTGTTTTAACAAGTAATTAAAATATTAGCATGCTATTCGTTGATAAATTAAGTTTCAAAAAGACTTTATTAGGCATCTTTTGGGAGTAAGAATGTGAGAATTAATCCATTATTATATGTAGAGCCTGACGCAGAGGCGTTAAAATCTAGTTCAGGTTTGCTAATGAAGATCATTTTATGACAAATCATTTGACATTCGCATATAGGATAATATATCTGCAGTTTTAAATTTCTAGATCTTGAGGCTTCGAGATTTTTGTCATCAGAACTTTACTCACAGGATAGGCAGCGAAAGTTTCGATCTCCGAAATACTAATCTTGTTTTCATATGCGTAATGTATTACTATCCTGAAAAGCTTCTAGTGTTTTAGTTTCGAAGATTCATGTTTATGTCCTTAGCACTTTCGAAAGGATGTCGGACATAGGAATTGATAATTACATATTTGATTACTCTCAGTATTTTAGTATAGTTCTAATACTGTCTAATATAATATTTCCCATTACAATTCTGCTTTGAAAGTATTTTAAAGTCGTAATCTTAATTGAAAAAAAATTAGCATGCATAATGTTAGGAGAAAGTTACTGAAAATAGAATTCATGACAAATAATTCTGAAACAGAAATCATGTACACATCCCTTTGATGAATGACCTAGCATTTATATTTCCCATACGATATTTTACAAAACCGTAGACCCATTTAAAAGAACCGTCAATTAATAACTATGCATTAAAGTTTAGTGGAAATAAATCGAAGCAAGTCATTTTTATGCTTAAATGTTTTGTGGAAAATTTTTGTAGGCACTTTTTGAAATTTAAGAAATAATGCAATCATTTCTAAGTGAAATTTATCGAAACTCGCTGTGTTACAATGTTTCCGACTTTCGCAGACATTGGTAAAATGCTAACATTGGTAAAATGCTATTTTTAGTATCCTACGCAATTGGTCTTTGCATCGAATAAGAGACACACTTTTATAAAGGATATATTAACAGCCAAATACATTCACTGCAAGTTACCGTATATAACATTTTCCATGAATATTTTGAATAATGTTATGTAATAAAATTAGACGGAGACTAAAACGATAAATTTTATGATTAAAATTAGATTTAGAGACTTAAAATTATTTTATTTCTGCTCATGTTACAATTTCTACCTTACCAGTTTAACGACATGCATTTCATGTGCATACACGCACAAGAAGTTAGGATCTTATTTAAGTTAAAAAAAGATCAATAAAGAATTCCATTTTCCATTGATACAGGAAATCCTGCATTAAACATGTAGATTTATTCAAATTAATGTCAGTTTATTTTCATCATGCTTTTTTTTTAATCAGCTGGAGCTTCCGACTTGCCTCCATATCAGACTGGTGTACGCTCTGACGATGTAGTGTGTGAAAGCAATAACTGTTCATGTATCTATCCGAGTAAGACGACTTGCTGTCAGTACTATCGGTGTGAAGACGGAGTAGCCTACCTAGAACAGTGCTCTGAAGGACTACTCATGAACCCTGAAACGCTTACTTGTGACTATGCTGAGGACGTGAGTTGTGGTAAGTGGCCAACTGTATTATTAGTATGGGCTTGATATCTGCAAATTCTGCTTCCTTTGTTAGAATTCTCCTAGTTTACTGAAATCTAAAGAAATGTTAAATATTGTTTTCTAAGGAAAACACACTAATGGGGATTTATGCCGGTATCAGCATCATGAAAATATGAAATAACAAAGATACAGTGAATAATAAACTAAGAAAAATTAAGTGAAAGAAAAGTTACTCATTTTCGAATGCCGGAAAATTTGAAGAAAATACTATAAAAATAAATTAAGTTTACGAATTTGGAATAGAACGTCGCTTATATTATTAAAAAAAATTTAAAGGAAAAATATAAACTTTATATATTCATCATTGAATTTTGGGAGAAAAATAATGAACCCAATTTTTCTTCATAAATTTATGAAATGAAACTTTCAACTCAGAATGTTAAAGAGCTATCTTTAGAAAAAGGAAAATAAAACGGTAGTATTTGAGCAACGCAGCCATTTTTTCAATGATTATTCAAATTTAATAACTTTTTACTTTTGGAATTTGAACTTTTAGGAGTATGTACTCACGATACTTGGAAAATCCGACAGTGATATCAGCGAAGATTTTATCATTGAAATAATTAAATATTAACCAATAAGATTCCTACAACATATGCATTTAGTTAAAATGGATTTGCAAATGAATCCAGAGTGTGGTAATTGAATTCCTTGATTTTATGCATTGCTGCTGTTATTGATGTGATTAACCTCGCTAGCCTGATATCAGAACGAGCGCAGGAAATTCATAACGACAAGGGGCACAAGATCGTGCCTGTCATTGAGAAGAGCCTGGAGCACCATATAGGGCAAAGTACGTTTCTCTCCCAATTCCCACTTTAATTTTGAGGAAGAACACTCCGAGGGGTGGATATATATATTTGCTTTAATTAAGCAATTGCTTGATTATCCAACTGCCGATAATTAAGCAATGTAAATGTAAGATAAAAAATATGTTACTAGTATAAACTGTACATTAAATTAACAATAAACCTTTAATTCCTCTTTCTAGTTAGAGAGGATTCTTCATTTGTTATTCTAAAAATAGTAATAACTTTTTAGGAACTGCATTATCTGAATACTAATTTCGCATTATGCCGTCTTAACCTCTGCACTGCGCATAATTCTTATCCAATCAGATGAAAGAAAGATTTTACTATAAATACCACTGCAATCCACTGCATTCCTATGTTTGCCGTTTTGAGCGCGTTTAGCACTCCTAATGTTATATCACTTCAGAAGATATGTGCTAAGAAATTCGACTTTCAAAGATAATGTTTAACTCCCAGGCTGGTTATGCTTTATCCAAACTTCTATCCAGTCGTCGCCGCAATTTCTAGTCATCCACGTAGTAGCTTTTTCGCTAAAGCTTTTAGCCATCAAGCAAGTTGTGATTTTTCTTCCAGTTATCTAAAATGCAACTACCAGCTGTCTGCTGTCTCCGTCCCCAGCACTACTGCTATACAATTAGTTTCATCTTCCGCCAAAACTACAATATATGGTTGTTGTTGATGGATGCCATTTTTGATTGCACGTTGAAATGTTAACAAAATCTGACTCGGTAATAGTAACATTTATATTTAATTCTAGGATGATATATATTTTAATATATATTCACTTATACACAATCATATTGCATGTAGTTACAAGATGAGCATTTTTCAATTCGCAAGTCCGCATGAGTAAAAATCAAGAAAGTCATATTACAGCTACGATAACATCACGCGGGGAAAGAGAGGTGAGTGCGTGCTTCACCGACGGCAGCCAGGAACCGAGTAACCAGTTCGAATTTTCCTCCAGAGAGGAAGAGGGAGAAAGCTGGTAGCGCCCTCTCTCGGGGCAGCGGACAAATAATAATAATAAAGAGTTCTCCACAGTATTCCCCCCCGAGTACCAAAGGTACGATGAAAAAAATCAGTTCACAAATATCTGGTGTTGAAGCGCACACGTCTTCCCGATCGTGTGACGACTGGTGGAGCACTGGGAGGAAGCGTAAGGTCGGTCGAAGGAGGAGTATCCGGAGTAGCAGTTGGATCCGGGGAGTCAGGAGGATCGCTGGTCACAGGAACCTGAGTGTTTGAAGCTTCGAAGAAAGCAGGCTTCAGACGATCTATGCTCAGGACGGTTTCCTTGTCGCGCACGAGAACGGTGAAATGCTTATTGTTACGTGCACAGACCTTGAAGGGTCCCTCGTATGGAGGAGTGAGTGGTGGTTTTACCGCGTCGTTTCGCACAAACACGTGGTGCACGAAAGGGGCAGATTTGTTATGGCACGAAGTAGGAGTCGGAGACAGCTTCTTCATCGCCTCTCGGAAAGTCTGGACAAAGGATGCTGGATCGACTGGAGCAGAAGATGGCTGAAAGGACTGGGATGGTAATCGAAGGGGTGTGCCGTAGACAAGTTCAGCGGATGTACCTGCGAGATCTTGCTTGAAAGAAGAACGCAAACCAAGAAGCACAAGAGGAAGTGAAGTAGTCCAACGGGTGTCATTACGGCACTTCAGGGCTGCTTTCAGGTCGCGATGTAAGCGTTCCACTAAGCCGTTGGCGGAAGGATGGTATGGTGAAGTGCGAATTCGGCGTATTCCAAGCATAGATGTCAGAGAAGCGAAAAGGTGTGACTGGAATTGTCGACCTTGATCAGTAGTCACAACTGATGGTACACCAAATCGTGCAATCCAACCGGTGATGAATTGTCGAGCCACAGAGTCAGCAGAGATGTCCTGAATGGGAAAAGCTTCAGGCCAACGAGTAAATCTGTCAATGCAGGTGAGTAGATATCGATAACCGTCAGATGGTGGCAGAGGACCGACGATGTCTATATGGACATGGTCGAATCGTTCGGATGGCATCGCAATTTTTTCCAAAGGGCTATGTGTGTGCCGGGTAACTTTTGAACGTTGGCACATGATGCAGGAACGAGTCCAGTTGGCAATGTCCTTTAGCATGGATGGCCAAACGAATCTTTCTTGTATGAGCTTTTTGGAAGCCCGGATACCTGGGTGCGATAGGTTGTGAAAACAGTCAAAAACTTTTTTCCTGAACTCAAGTGGTACATAAGGTCGCAGTCTGTTGTTGGAGGTATCGCACAATAGTTGGAGGTCCCGAGTAAGTTGTAATGACTGGAATTTCAGCGAGCAGTTTGGGTCTTCACTCAGACGTTTTAGCTCCTCATCAGTGGCTTGCGAGTGAGCAATAAGCGTGAAATCCAGTGGTGCATTGGCATCGATGCCCTGAATACGTGAGAGAGTATCCGCGACGACATTGCTGGAACCTGATATATGCTGAATATCAGTGCTGAATTGAGCTATATAATTTAAATGCCGAATTTGTCTCGGGGAAGCAGAATTTGATTTTGATGTGAATGCATAAGTTAGAGGTCGGTGATCAGTAAATATAGTGAAGTGTTGACCTTCAAGATTATGCCTGAAATACTTAATAGCTGCGTAAATAGCTAATAATTCTCTGTCATACGTGCTGTATTTTTGTTCTGTAGGGGACAGCTTACGTGAGAAAAATCCTAGCGGCTGGTAGTCATTAGAATGTCGAACGTTTAAGACAGCTCCGATGGAAATGTCAGAAGCGTCGACCATAACACTCAGCTTTTGGTTAGGAGAGTGATAGGAGAGTTACAGCATTACTAAGGTCGTGTTTACATTTTTCAAATGCCTGATTAAGTTCGTCGTTCCAAGGAACAGGGCGTTTATCATTTTTACGTGAGTCTTTTAAGAGTTCATTCAGTGAAGCTTGGGTCTCGGCTGCCTTTGGTAAGAAGCGGCGATAAAAGTTTATCATGGCTAAAAAACGTCTGAGCTCGACAATAGTGGTAGGTTTTGGGAAGTCGGCAATTGCTTTTGTTTTCTCAGGCAGGGGTTTTACACCTGAGGCAGTAATGAGGCAACCTAAAAATGAAACAGATGGTTTTCCGAGTACACATTTGTTAGGGTTTAATGTCAAACCATGTTTATTCAAACGATCAAACACTTGACGAAGATGACGGATGTGCTCTTCTTCGCTAGTCGATGCAATAAGGATGTCGTCAAAATAAGGGATGCAAAAATCCAATCCAAATAAAACTTCATGTATAAAACGTTGGAAAGTTTGGCCTGAATTTCGTAAACCAAACGGCATAGCCAAAAATTCAAAAAGACCAAAAGGGGTTGTGACGGCAGTTTTCGGAATGTCTGCAGGGTTAACAGGAATTTGATGATAGGCACGTGCTAAATCAAGTGTTGAGAATATGTTCTTTCCTGAAAACATTTGAGTGCAATCCTGAATATGGGGTACGGGATAGCGATCCGGAATTGTAACGGCATTTAAGCGACGATAATCCCCGCACGGTCGCCAGTCGCCATTAGCCTTACGAACCATGTGCAGGGGGCTTGCCCAAGGACTTTTTGAAGGCTGAATGATGCCTTTTGATAGGAGAAAATCAAACTCTTGACGTGCAGCTTGAAGTAATTCTGGAGATAATCTTCTAGGTTTGGAGAAAATAGGAGGTCCTTTAGTTTCAATGTGATGGAAAATCGTTGACATTGGTGGCCTCTCAAAAGTTTGCGAAGGATTCGTCAAGCTAGGGTAATCGGCAAGAATTTTGTCAAATTTTGAGTTACCCATCAAAATATGAATGCTAGTACTGAGCGGGTTCACATTAGGAAGTCTACCGCAAGAATATAGTTTTGTTTGTCCATCAATTAAACGGTTGTTTTTAACGTCTATGAGTAAGTTGAACTTTGTGAGAAAGTCAACACCTATGATGGGTTGATTGACGTCTGCCAGGATAAAAGGCCAAGTAAATGAGCGACGTAAGTTTAAATTGATGGTCAAAAGTTTGGTGCCATACGTTGCAATTTTAGTGCCGTTAGCGGCAAAGAGTTCCAATGCAGCTGGTATTTTGGCATGCTGACTGTAACTCTTGGGAATGACAGATAAATCGGCTCCGGTGTCAATTAAAAAAGTCAGCTTTGAGGA